GAACAAAAACAATAAAAAGTATCGCCCAAAAATGCTCAGAAGTCTTAAAGTTAATTATTTTTACATTCTTCTATTTTATAAGGGTGTAACTAATATAAATTTAACTATGACATAATATACCATTAAAAAACATAACTATGTATTTATTTATTATAAAATTAAAATATATTTTAGGGTGTTTTCATTTCAGTACTCTATTTATCAACTTGCATAAATTTAACTTGGGAATAGTCATTTGGGATATTTATATACCTCAGCGATAAAAAATGTGAATTATAAAATATTGTTTTGTTTAATTATGGATTTTGTTTAACGTATTTTTTGAATAATGAAGTATAGTTATTTACGATGCAATTATTTGTATGCATTTGAAAATCCGCAATAAAAAGCGTTATATTAATTATAATCTTTATTTTTTAGAAATAATTCATTATATTAATTATAATCTTTATTTTGTTGAAATAATAACGTCATATTTGATTATTTAATGTATTTATTCCATTTAATATTTGTTTAGTTTTTATTTAATTTTTTTTTAAATTATAAATACATATTCATAACGTTCAGAAATACTGATAAATCAAAAAATAATCAATATACAATATATTATGAATAATTGTGATTTTAATTGAAGTATAAAAATATTCCAGGTGATCATTTACGTAAAAGAAAAGGTGACTATTCCCGGGTTAAATTATTTCTACTTATTTATATAGATAAAAAATTATGGATTATATTAAATAAAACGCACTGTATCAGAAATTATAGAGTAACGTCTTTAATTCTTTATCTTAAAAATGTGCAAAAATCTAATTATAATATTTAATTTTTTTCGGACAAAAATATCTGCTCATCTTTTAAATTAATAAAATAATGTGTTTTGTATTGATCGACGCGTCGAGAAACGAAAAAAGAAAAAACATGATACCCCTATTACTTTATCACTTTAATTTATCTTTGTCTTCCAATCCGTATGTGTATGTCAACTATGTGAATGAATTAGTAATGAAAGCTAATAAATAAAGATCGAACAAAAAAGAAACAATCCTTTTTAAGCACATTTGATCATTTCTTAAAATTATTAAAATGGCAAATATATTAAAAGAGCAAATCAATGCTTTCGCACATAAAAAAAATTAAAATTTTCTTAAATCTTCGTTTTTATCGTCGCTTGTCCATTAATTTATACGCAATAGAAGCGACACATTATTACGAATTATAGCAAACGGAAATGTTATGCTTCGGTATCCCTTGTTGCGTTTGCATAACTCTAATCTGAAGACACTACAACACATATTAATCTGGTCATTCATAATAGTTAGAAGCTACTTTGTCCTGATATAATGGGAAGCTTGTTATTCCACGGTCGTATATGCGTGTCTGTATGGATCGTTATCAAAATTAAATGATGATCTCATTTCTGTATGTGAGCCGCAATCATCTTTCTTATCAGAATGATACAACGGCTCGGTTCGCGCCTCTCCAGAATGATTAAAACCATGCAATAACGTTTATAATTATATTTGTATGTATATATTAAATACTTAAACAGTGCGTTATTATCTAACATGGAAATCACCCCTCATTTCATTAATGATTATTATCATAATTAATTCTTTGCATTAAACAAAAAAACGTTTTACTAAATCTTAAAATATATTTTTTTCAATAGTATTAACTAAATATTTACTTATAGTAAATAGATATTTACTCAATAAAAAATAATAGTAAAATCAAATTAATAAAATTGGTTCTCGTACAAATATTTTTATACTCACTAATAATATATTAAAGGTTTATTCATTAATAATATATTAAAGGCCTGATGCCGGTCGAAGCTAGATCTTAATTGCTTTAAATAATTCGAAAAAGATGTGAATTATATATATACTATATATGTACTTACATATATACCATATTTGTAGTCATATTCACTACGCGCCGAAATTTTTCCGGACTTTACAAACGCAGCTAAACTACTGAAATAATATCACAAATTAAATTTTTGATGCTCAATAGACATCTATTGTAGAGATCTTAAACTACTAGAATCTGTAAATAAATTTTAAATTATTGCAAAAAATATTACTCGGGAGTCGAACTCGGATCTCTTACATTCATTGTGAGCGTCCTTACCAGTTAGACTTACCGAGGCTTCGATTGCCGGCCGAGGTAATATTTTTCACAATAATTTAAAATTTATTTACAGATTCTAGTAGTTTAAGATCTCTACAATAGATGTCTATTGAGCATCAAAAATTTAATTTGTGATATTACGTATTTCAGTAGTTTAGCTGCGTTCGTAAAATCCGGAAAAATTTCGGCGCGTAGTGAATATGACTACAAATATGGTATATATGCAAGTACATATATAGTATAGATATAATTCACATCTTGAATTATTTAAAGCAATTAAGATCTAGCTTCGACCGGTATTAGGCCTTTAATATATTATTAGTAAGTTCTGTACGCGTCGGTCCTATAAGATTTAAATTTGAATATATTTTTATATAATACTATTCAATTAATACTATTCAAACAAATATTTATTAAAATTCAGTTTTATAATATTTATTCAAATTTTTTTCAATGCATGTATAGATTTATATGTTCATATATATGGAGACACTTTTTGCCCCTTTTTTAATATGATATGTATAAAGTGTATATAACTATATTGTATGTATATATACATACAAAAATGATTTCTTAAAGGAATGTATAAATGCTTTAATCGAAAAATATTTTATGCTTAAAATAGCGCCAAGAATAAACAATTTCCAATTAAAAATAAATTAGTCTTAAAATAAAATAAATTATATTCTTAGTTCAAAACAAATTTTATTTCAATAAAAGAATAAAGTTGCATTCGTTCATCATTAAATATGCTTGTATTAGCATTATTTTTTCTTCAATGATACCTTTTGTCAACTTATTTCAAACCCCCAGTAAGCTTTCCAGTAACATCAAGATGACAGAAACCAATGCTGCAGTAAGTAACGATAATTTTGTAAATGAAGTGCCACATTTATAGAGCATGCCTCCTAATTTGCACGGAGTACAAGCTCTCAAGGAAAAACCGAATCAAACTCTACTTACTCTAATGTGATTCAAAGGCAAGTGAAATGCCTTTGCAAAGGCAAATGAAATGCTGAGACCGTTCTACCAATACCTCTATTAACCATATTGCAAATAATGATGCAAACAGACGGTCAACCTCGTCATGGTAGAGAACGCTGGTTGCACACACAGGCGGATCCGCCGCGGCAGATTCATTGCTCATCTCTCACCCATTTAACTGTGGACAGCAGATCCGCGAATCCGCCGCGGAAAATTCGCCCGCGTGTATAGGCAACCGCTTCTTCATTGCGTCACAGTGACAAAGTCGGCCGACTGTTCGCGCATCCCCATTTGCAATATAATTGACAGAAACATTAGGACGAGCTGAATATTTCATCCACCCTTAAAGATTGAACCACATTTAGAGGTATGTTCCACGAATGCAACAGTTCACTCACAAAACCATCGTCAAACGTCATTCACTACACCCATGCTTCTGACATCTTGATATTACTAAGGGGCCCTTATACATACTGTTGCCGCCTTCCGGCGAATTTTCAAATTTGTAATTCTAAATCCAAGAATAAATAGTTTCGAAATAATGCGATTGAGTTTGTTAGAACCATGTAATGATTTTAGAAACAAGAACACAATTTTAAGAATAAAATATACTTTTTGCACAAATTTATTTATTATTGACGCCAGTGAACATTTATAATTGAAGAGAACATTTTATTTAAATGAAAGTAAATAGCATACAAGAATAAAAATATACGTGAATCAGGAATTCATTTTTTTCTGTGTGCGTATATATATATATATATAGTGTGTGTGTGTGTGTGTGTGTGTGTGTGTGTGTAAAAAATATATACACAAGTGTGCTAAAATTCGTGACTTAAACTATAGCAAGAAAGTTCTCGAAAAATTAAGTAAAAATGTTATTTATAAATTTTTCATTTTTAGTAATAATTTTTGAAATAATAAAGGTTTAAACATGACCAATTATATACTATATTTAGATAGTCATCTATGAGTATTGATGAGCGCGTTGAGATACGCGCTCACTATCACTCATTACGGCTATCGCATGTGCAATTCATGGATAAATGGCATATAGTCTGTAATTGGTCATATTTAAGTCCTTATTATCTCAAAAATTACTGCTCAAAATAAAAATTTACAAATAATTTTTTTATTTTATCTTTTTGCTGTCATGTTTTGAGTTGTAAATTTTGGGACACCCTGTGTGTGTGTGTGTGTGTGTGTGTGTGTGTGTGTGTGTGTGTGTGTGTGTGTGTGTGTGTGTGTATGTAGGCTTGAAATAAGAGGTCAAATGTAAAACGTAAACTCAATAAAATAAGGATGTTTTAATCCTTATCAAAGAATTAGGAAAAAGTCATGTACCACGACGTGAAAAGAATAAGAGATGTGTTTTACCAGAGAAAAGTTAAAATAACTCGACCATGAACATAGATCCCATGTCTAAACTTCCAAACTTTCTATAATTAAAGGACTGTACAGCTGGAACGAGATAGAGTGGATGCGTCCGTAGTAAAAATCGACGCTTAGAACACCGTCTCATTATAGCTGTACTTTATGTTGCGTGTTAAAAGTATTAAGAAGATATCTATAGCCTCACGACAACACGTAATTAATATAGATGATCAATGCAATTGCGCAGCGTATCACCAATCTCACGTGATATTAAATATTTAAATTTGTCCAAGTTTAAACCACTCCTTCGTAAGTATCGATCGACCGAGAAAACCAGATTGAAGCTTGCGCACGTGTAAAGAACACTTTTACACGTAGTGATGAAATAATTTACGGTAACCGTATGCTGTTCAGAACAATCTCTCAGACAATTACAATAAAGTCGCAATTAGTTTTCCAGCATGCAGCACAAATATTGAAATAACGTATAACATAACTCATTATGTTTACAGCTCTGTGCTGTGTAATTGCATTTTTCTGCAGGATGCATTTTCCATGCTGCCTAGGAAATATAAAACTCAAGATGAAAATGTGTTTATCCATAAAATTAAAGAATAATATTTTCTTATAAACTCATACACGACGGAAAACTTTTTATATATATTTTTCGAGAGTGTAACACACAAAATCATAAAATTTTCTCGTATAGACGTAAATCAAATTTATCGTAGATAATTAATTACTCATCGACGAAGCAATCGATGAAGCTGGTAGCCCGGTTATAAAGCCGAAAGTAATAGCCACTTGTTGTGGGATCGTTATTACTTGGGTATCTGAAATGATTGTTCATTTTCACGAAAGATGGATAATTAATCGCCGTGAGGGCAATGTTTTACTTTATCAAAGCCAGTCATTAATTTTTATCTGAATCTGTACTGTTGGTTCTGCATTATCTATCATCGTTCTCGGTTTCATGTTGGTTTAGTCGGTCAAACAGCCACGAGCGTTTATTTTCTACTACAATTGGGTTATTATGCGATTCAGTTGGCTTGTCAAATTGCATCATTAAGATATGTATATTCTATATCGCTAGGAATAATATAACTAAAATGGAAATAATCATGCTATAAGTGCGCAGGTACCGCAAATTCCTTCGGAATCTCCTCAGGCAGATTTTCTCAAGCGCGTTCGTATCACAATTTCCGACAATAAAAGAAAAAGTATAATATGGAGCTTGGCTTAGCGGATAAGCATCGTGCTTCAATATAGAGATCTTCGCTGCTACGTGCAAACAAAATTTGAATATCAGTTATAGAACAGAAAATCGGTCAGCCTGAAGTTTGCGAGACGACTAAAGAATGGCGATAAAAAAGAAAAATACGATAAGATAGAAAAATAGAGAGAAAAAGAGAATACGTTCTACTTGATTCCGGCTTGGCGGAAAGTAGGAAGCACAGTGTAACAACACGAAGTACTGTAAGTTGTTCTGCAGCAGGGTCGAAGAATAAATTACAAAAGCAGAGGAAATTAACCGTCTTGAAAATGACGCAAGCAGGCAGTAAGTTCTGGAAATCTCTCTCTCTCTCTCTCTCTCTCTCTCTCTCTCTAATCGCGCGATTTTCGAGTAAAACTTTCTGAAAGTTCTAGTACAAATCTACACACGTTTCTTTATCCGTTCCCCTTCTTTATTTTATATTTTGTACTGATTATAAGAGAAAAATGTATTAGTGACTGGTATTTGTGACTATAATTACATGATAAAATAATTATTAGAAGTCGCTTTTATTACTGCTATTACTGCTATAATAATAATTATATTTATAGTTCTATCAACAAATATATTGTTGACACCAAAAATAACTCAATGTGGCTTTATGTGATCTCGAATGCTAAACTTAGCACTTTATGTATGAGTTGCCAATATAATGGTGAATATTGGCACTTGTTTATTTTGTATTTGCTGAACAATTACATATGAAAATTTAGTTTATGGTTATGACCCTTTTTTCGGTCAATTTTAGGTTTAGCATGCATTCTCTTCTCATCCAACGAATATTTTGGAAAAGTAAGAGCAAAAATAAATATACTGTGCCCATTTTCATACAGGAAAACAATACAAGACATTCGAAAGTATTGCATGATAAATGGACTCGGCAAGATACTATGCGGTCATTCAAGTGTTGCATTATTTGCAACTCGAGTTCGAACGAGGTTTATTGTCCTTAACAAAATCGTAAGTTAAACATTCTCGCTTCCGATCGGTATGACAACTGTCTCGCTTATTTTCCAGTCTGTCGGCAACGACAAGTCAGCATTTTCGGTTGTGATCGATCGGACTTCAATTACTTAGCAGACGGAACGGTCGAATTGTGTACTTGGAAAACGGCCAGGAGGTCAAAACGCAACAAGCCTTTCCTATCATTTGGAAAATTCGAGCCAGCCGTTCAGCTTCATGTTTATTCGGGACTCGAGAGTATTAAATAAATTGGACGAGAGAGAGAGAGAGATTTCACAACGCATCTTACACAAATGTTTCAAAAGAAACTAAAATATTGCTCGGCGAGAATCCAATTTGATCACTTCGAAATAAACGCGCGGGAAGCTCTGTTGGGTGTAGGGATTAGAATTTGAGGTGAAACGCGACGGATAGTGGATTTTCGGAAGTTCGGAACCCCTACAGTGGAAAGCACTTAAAAGCATATGAAATCGGTGCGACTCGTAAAGGAAGTGAGACACGTTCGTGAGAAGCTCCGAGATGGGTTGAAAAGACTCAATATAAGAAGCGGAAAGAAAGTCAAGGAATAAAGTAAAATGTGGGAAATGTGAAAGACAATTGTCGGCAGCCCTGTTATTTCCAGCAAGGCACGAGTCTTAGAGCGTGTTGTTAAAGAAAATCTCACCGTCCCACTTCCAACGAGCGCGTCAGCTGCTCTTTTTATTTTCCAGTTCTTCAGACTCCACGCTCGTCAGCACTTTGTTGCTCATCGAGCGTGGGTTCGACGACGCCCGTCAGTTACCGAAATCCTCGGTAATCGAGCGCGTACATGAGAACACCTGTTCTCGATTAGAGAACTTGTCTCGAAGTGCGAGAGGGCTTGTTCTGTTGTCCGGAGTAGTAAGCACATAATGATAATTAATGAGATCTTCAGAGAGTAAAAGAACTGAACGTTTGCGATCATTTATTACGAAATGAACGGATCGATAAACAATTCCTGAAAAACAAGAAATTTACATTCAACGAAGCTAAACTTCCTTCGCGAAGCAAGAGGAAAACAGAGAACGTTAAAGTCGTGGTATAATTATCACTTTAATTTCAAAGGGGGTGTTTCATTAATATTAATGTAACACACCGAGCTACACATACACTTTTTTTATATATGCAACATATTTCCTAAGATGGAATGAAGAAGAGATTGTGCAGCAGAGATGAAGCGGGAAAGAACGCGGACGACGATCGTAAAGACGTATAAAAGACATCGAATTAATCAGGCAAGAGCATGCTCAGCTTGACGAAAATCATTAATTAAACGAGAACTAAATGCATGAGGAACAAGCCCCCTGTCATAACTTCCGCGCGACCTCGTAAATCACAACGAGGGTTTCTCGTACGGCTTCTTTTGCTCGTGTATTGAACGGACGGTGTTGGAACGCAATGATCCGCGTCGCTTGAGGTGTAAGAGCTCTATTCAAATCAAAACGAGCGTGGACCGAATGTATTCGCGAACGAATGAATTTCTACGAGAAGCAGATGGATCATTGGAGGAGATTATGGAAGAGATATAGCGCTACCGAAAGATTTATCGATTACAGATTATTCCTCGTTGCGGATACGTGAGGTCGATTCGAGGACGAGCGATATCGTAACTATCGTTTCATTATAAAACCGTACCGAAAATAAGACCTAAACGATCTTTAACGATTTTTGATAACCTCATTCGCGAACAAAAGTAGAATTTCTCGTAGCTGAGGAGAATATCGAGCATTATAATTTTATTGAAATAGCATTATGACTTCGAAATGAGATCTACAAATTTCACCTCCCACCTCGCCGTCGCTGGATGATACTATTTCTGCGACGATCGAAGTTGGAGGTCCGAGAGGTCCGAGACCGTTGCGAAACTTTAGCAGATGATTTTAACCCGTCCCATCGGACGAGTTATATTCAGTTTCGTTCCGATAACGTGCATATAGAAGTATCTTTTCGTGCAAGAAGACAGAAAGGTAATAATAACAAAAATAACTCCCCATCGGTCAATAATTTCGTCGGCGATCGACAAGACGTAAAGCCTGGAGATGTGTGCGTCGTCCTCAGGAGAATTCCAATTAGATAATTTTGATCGAACGATCTCTGAAGCTCTCCTAGCATCTTGCTTCAGAAACTATCGGCGCTTCAACCTCAGAAATCATCTACATAGGTTGAGATCAGTTCAACATAGGTTGAAATACGTCATGTTAACTCATGATGTTAATTGGTAAATGCATGGTCCGTCCTCTCGATACTTCGAAACAAGCAAATTGTCTAAGTTCAGTCAATCATTCGCTCTATTCTAGTTCGATCAGTCGATTGTCTCGCAAAGCACCGCTTTTGTCCAATGCTTACGTGGTAGTTCTCGTAACGACAATTCGAGGTTATCGATGAACTCCTCGATGACCAGCAATAAAAGGAACGGCTGAGGCTATGCAACGTAATGTTGTTCGATAGGTGTACCTTATAGATCGCCTTTTCTCTCCATTTCTTTCAAGTCTTTATAACTCGATAAATCTCATTTATATCGCGATATTTTAACTCCTTTTAATCGGTCTCATTAATATGAAAGTTTCATCACGCAATCGTTAATTGTAAATAAATAAACTGATCAAAACAAGATGAAATCTATAAAATTTATTATATAACACGGATTGTCGTGCGATTTTATCATTTTAAATAACGATTTTCTAAGAAAAAGAGAAAAAAAGAGATATATTCATAAGCTAATATATCAGTTCGTTCCATATCGATATTCTTACGATTCTTAATCTTCACGTATGACTCCAAGGGAGCCATTGCCGCAGAAATATTCATCCGTTGACTTTATGAACATACGACGTTGGCAGGTCGTAAGGTGTCTCGTTTTCTTTTATATTGCAACGCGACGGAAGCTATTGGTTCTGGTAATAACGACGGCGTTGCCTCAAGCTTTCCTTCCTTCCTTCCTTCCTTCCTTATATCGAAGGTGAGCTTCACAAAGCACAGAAGCCGCAAGATGTTTACGGCCAGCAAAGCTCCGTTTGCTCGTTTAGTTTCGAAACATTCGGGTGTTGCTTGCTCCTCAATTCAACTAGAATTTGCGGTGTGTACCGCACTGTCGCTCTTTCAATACCGGATGTAACTAGCAACTTCACATCGTGGACGCTCGTCTGCCACCAATATCGAGCCATTCACAAAAATCGCGAACAACACGATCCGACCCTACCTTGATTGCTAACGTCTTTTATGCGTTTCGTGCAACTCACCGTAATCGCATTACGGCGATAATAAAAAATTATGCCATTTCTCGTGGACGGCCTTCAACAAAAAAAAAGGGGGAAAAAACGTCACGATAGTCCTCGATCAATTGGTTTGACAAATTGTTACGAGAAAGACGAATTTAGGATGTTCAAGATAATGTCCTATTCCTTAAGATAAATTGAAAGTATATATGTACAAGTATCCGTTTACGTCAAATTTACTTTATAGGCTCGATAAATCGATCGGTTCGACACGGTAAAATATAGTAAACCCGTGTATTCGGTTTGCATCAAGTGTAGTCTGATGAAATTTACGCGTACATTTACCATTAGAGAGAATCCTGTATGTGTATCCACTGTAATGTGTCTTCGATCAAATTGCGCGAGATAAATCGGCAGGATCCGTACGTTTTGCAGAGTGCGAGACAGATAGAGTGCTTTCCAGCAAGAGACTCAGATGACAGTGTAACACAGTGAATCATTACATCCTTATTGTTTGCTAATGTTAAACGAAGATGACGTGATCAGTATGCCACACTGTATCGCTTGCTGGAAAGCATCAATAAATTAGCAAAGCAAACTTCCGATTTTTTGAACATGAATACTTCCTCAGATGAACTTCCCTGAAATACGCTTGACCTTGTTTTATATAATACCGGATTTAAAAACCATTCTGCAAACTTCAAAACCGATATTGAAATTTCATTTAGCTATGTCGTTTTCTTTTTTTAAAACACATGTAGACTGCCATTACCTTAAATAGGTAAAAATCCCGCCAATATTATATAAGGATATGAAATTAACATTTAAAATATTCTTCTTAAATTTTTTATTCCAATTTTAAATTTTTCTTCTAATTTTTCTCTATTTAGGCACATTTTTCATTTAGTAAAAGCATTTCTAAGTATCTCGGTTTTTTTTAATATTCGTGTGTTTTACGTGTTGTATATCCTCGTTTTCTTTTCACGATATAAAAGGGCGGATATATATCAGAGATACTCACTCGTGGCAAGTATACAAAAGATGGAGGCAACCCTCAAAGTAACACGAAGAAAATACGGATTTTATCAGTCTCGGTCGATGTGCACGCTACCCTCCGAATATATCAAATTTCGAAACTATTTAAGCGAACCATTGTACGGTGGTTACATGACACTGTTGACCCCTTTCAGAACTACGAGCACTTTAGGATCAAACTATCGATACTCCCTTTCAATGTTCGTCAATATTTTCTTAGTTTCCCTTCCTCTTTCATTTGCCCTGGAGATCGATTAATACCAAGTTGGTATTAAATCGCAATTTTATTCTGTAATCAATGTTCAGTGTTCTCCGGCAATTACAATCGATCTTTCAAAAGGTAACCAGCCAAGCTGTCAGAAAACTGTCAGAATAGACATGGAATTATACAAATCTAGCGCGAATCATTTTTCGCACGTAGAATCATAAATTTTCCTTGATTTCCAACGATTTTAAAATTGTAAAATCGTTACGATTTTCATAGCGAATGCTGTATTATTAGCCAAAGAGAAAAGTTTCTACGATAAAAGTAAATATCAGACATATATTGCGCTATGTCTCATGAATATTTAATCGTTGGCCTTGCTTCGTTTGTCGCGCATACATTCGCGACTATGTATTCACGCATTTCTCTCTGCACTCTCGACCGATATACTCTAATGCCTGTGGCCGGCTGTCAAGCTTTACATACGCTTAAACAGTGATTGTTCTGATCGTAATAGCAGAAGATAGTTGGAGTGCATTTCTATAAAGATTCCAAAGAGTATAATGGAAGGAAAATATGTGGCAATAATGGCAATAATGTAAATCGTATTTTTCTCGTTACATTTGACATTTATGACACTCGAACTAATAAAAACATATTAGTGACATCTTATGAGTTTTTTTTTCTATACATAATAATCCTATAATTATATCCTATAATTATTCTATACTTATTTTATATAATTAGCCTGCAAATTCTTTTATAATAAAAAATATTTTACACAGGAGAAGTCAAGCTTTGCTTTGTATCATTAATCGATACTTCGAATGATAATGTAATCAAACACAGTATTTTATTAACATGCAATTGTACATTTTCTTTATTCCTATTTATGGAATTGGAAATTTTCAAATGACAAATGTTTGTATCAACGATTGTAATAATAATAATAATAATAATAACAATAACGACATACATGTTTTGATACGCTAATGATTAATGGCAGAGCATTGTGTGAAAATATGACTCACCTGTCGCAATCAGCAGTGTCGCATGTCGCATCAATACAATTATCGGGGCAATTGACATAATTATAATACTCACCTGTAACAGAAAAAGAATATTGTATTAATATTTTATATATATATAATACCATTATTATAATTAAATACATTTATTTATAAATCTGATAAATTTTTATTTGTATTAAAGTTTAGAAAGATCGAACTTTATTCAGTTGATTAAAAAGAAACGAGATAACGAAGACAACAGAAAGTAAAGAGAGCCAACCAAGATGGTCAGAAAGAAATCTCATTAGCGACTAATACGACCAAGGATCTCACAAAAATACAATAAGAAAAGAAACTTGCTACTCGGATGTTTAGAAAAACGAATAATGACTGTTGGCCATTACTGTTGGCAATTAACTGTATTTGAACACACGGTTGTGCGTGCAACAAACTGGCTGTTGAGTGACAAGAGAGAGAGAGAGAGAGACAGACATTTTAATTATATTCTTGATATTCATGAATAAACATGAATTTTGAATCTGACGTTCAAAATGTCTGCGATATTCCATAGCAAAACGGCGATCTCTTCCGAGCCGAAGAACAATGAGGAAGAAGGCCGGATAATCTTCGTTGCGCAAATAAAGCTACCCGAGATATACTGAATTTCTATACAGCTACAGCTCAGATTGGAAATTGCGCGACAGTGTGCAAATGAAGACCATCTAAGCTAGAAAATCATTTAGATCATTTAGGAATTTAATAAGCTACGGCACTTTAAAGCTATGGTAGTAACTTAAGACCGCGTATATTACAATATATATACATATTTGAATATAAATCGCACGGATTTAATATTTAAAAATAAGTTATATCCGTTAAATTTGTTACACAAATGGAAAAAGTATATTAATACATTTTACACATATTTTTTAATCATCTAATAGCACTCTTGTACATTTCAATTTTTCTCTATAACCATATTTAAAAGAGTGACAGTTCATTAATAGTTTTGTTGTTTGTAAAACATAAATCCATATTACTTCATTTTCATGATGAAAAAGAGTTGGCACATTTTCGTCTACTTGTGTCCCTCTTTCCTCCGTTGCTTTATGTTTTCGATTCGTATTTTGTATGTGCGTGTGTATAGTGTATGCACTAAATTTTATAAGACTTTTCTTAATGAAATTAATCGATTAGTTTCAGGGATTATGATAAAACCATTAAATGTGAATTATATACATATACTTTACACACGTGTACTTTTGTCCTTCGTAATATTACGTACATATACTTAATTCCGTCTCTCATAACATTAATTGTAAATATAATAATTAGTATTTATTCGTAAATGTATTCAAATAATATTCTACGAGGATAACAATAAGAGTATTATATATCATTTATCATACATTATTCATATCATATTTTAATTAAAATAGAATTATTTATACTTCTATCTTTACAACGTCGTCGCAACAGAATCACATTAATAATTCTCGTGCAATTTCCGATGTAAAGCTAAAATATTTTACAAGCTCGTTTCTAGGACGAATTTCCTCTCCGGTATATCGGAAAACATTATTATATTTTAATGATTCAAAACGATAGAACTTCAAGTAGTTGCAAAAAATGAATTGTGATGATGGAAAATATTTCTGTATCTTGACTAATCTTATTAGCGTTGTCATAAAGGAAGATAACTCGTGAACAGAAAGGAGAGAAAATTATAGGATATTAATCTCATTCCACGATACACCGGATGTCGTAAAGATCGAGAATCAGGCTAATAGATCCGAGTTTGAAATGTTTGCAAACTGCCGTTTACAAAACGGTTAACAAGACTGATGTCAACCGAAATACGATTAACGTGACAAACTCGCTCATTATCGTAAATGACACCAAGGCCGATTATCCTCTTAGAACGATACCATAGTAGAACGTAGTTAATAAAAAATGTAACTTAACGTTTCATGACAGCCGGCTCAGGAATCATAGTTAGCGTTGTGTCAAACTCATATCAGCTAGATTAATCTCTTTTTTTCTTTGAATCGCGTGAATTTTTTCTGCTGTTTTCAGAGTTATCGTATTAATATATGTATATTATATTCCAATTATATATAAATTATGTATAAATTGGCTACTAAGAGAGAAGCGATAAAACTGAGTGCGATAAAATCACACGATTCTGCGTACTGTGCGACTGCGATGGTTCACTGATTAGATCACATTGTGTCTATGTGTAAAAGAGAGAGACAGAATTATAGGAATTTATTTAACAACTTAAAAGGCTCGCCTAAAGGCGCATTTTACGACTTAACATACACATACGCGTACATGCAAATAACGAAAATCGATGAGTGCTATACCGATCAAGTAAATCATGGAAATGGCATACAACATCAAAATTTATTTCGCTTTTCGTCAGCTTTGCAATCTGTTTTGCAAGAGATACAAATTATGGGAATTGATAGAAAAAGCTCGTTTCTCTCAAACGTGACTCCGGATTAAATTGTAGCTTCGAATTTTGTTCACTTCTTTTGATGATTGCGTATCTTTGAGACTATAATGCAGAAAAATCTTTGCGAGAATTGCGACTTGCCCGGAAGCAAAGCGGACCAGATAAGGAGGTGAAGCAAATAGAAGGGTCGATGCCTCGTTTGCTCGACGAGACGGATAAAAGGAAACGTTTCTAAAGCGCCTGGACCAGTACCAATTGGTTCAACGGGCACAGACTGCCTCAAAGGACGAAGATCCCCGCTTTTAATTCTTTTTTATAATCTTCTCCGTAAATACGAAATCTCAAGTTGAAAGGAAACCGCCTATGCCACTCGGTTACCCGAAGAACAGATACGAAGTCATACAATAAATTCTTTTTCAACGACACTTGGACATTTTCCAAGACGTAATTGTATTCGTTGACCTACTAGTAATATATAAAAGTAAATACAGCTAAATTAAATACGAAAAAGTTAAATGCGGTTGAGAAAAGATTTATAATGCACACGTGTTATTCCCTGTTGGATCGCGTAGGAAGATAAGAACACGCTTACGTTTCTGTTTCAGTTGAATCGCCGGTGAGAGGTTCATTTGTCATTGTTGCAACCGACTAATAGCATAAGTCAATCAATGAGAATGTTAACGAGCGTCTAGAGGATTACCCACATCGTGTAAGCTGAGTACTAGAGCGACCATAAGATTGGCTAATCCACAATCGATTGGGTATTTGACGCTTATCGACACTGAAAGTAAACTGAGCTAGAGAGAGAATTCTTTGATAAACAGTCTTTTAAATCGAGAAAGCCATTTAATCGTACCGCGTTGAATAATTAATGTAAATCGTGCATTTTCGACAATGTAATAAATTAACTCGATTTTGAATCAAATAACTTTAGGAAAGCCTTCCATAAATATTCTCTCCGAGTTACTTCGTCGTATGACATATATATACAGGGTGTTTCCAAATTAAATGGCAAAACTTCGGGAGCGTGTAGAGGAGTAAAAAACTAAGAAAAAAAGTCCTATAGACATATGCTCGTTTTTGCTCCGTTTCAGAGAAATCGAAAAAAAATGTTTACATTTCTTGCCATATCTAGCACCGACATATTTGATTACATTTTCCACTTTCTGTTATGAATTTGTCAGTCGCTCTTTGAAAGCCTTTAACAGTAGATGAATTTTGTCTTTTGCAATATGCCGCGTACGTATTCTAAT